CAAGTCACCCACAACCCATCGAAAGTCTGTCTACAGCCTTCCAGCTCCTGATATTGTAGGTGATTACAATAAATACATGGGTGGAGTGGATCGTGCTAATCAAATACGATCTTATTTCACTTCCCAACGCCAGGCCCACAAATGGTGGAAGTATGTCTTCTTCTACTTATTAGATACTGCCATTTGCAACAGCTACATTATCTACAAAGAAAACGCATAAAGCATTCCAAGTAGAAGTTGGTTGTGCTATGATTGGTGGCTTTTGCTCAAGAAAACAGAGAGTGACAACTGCTGAACCAGTTCTCAATACATACCAAAATCACCACCTGGTTAAAGGAGAGGGCAGAGGTGCTAGTTGTAGAATGTGCATTAAGATAGGAAGGAAAACTCAGAAGAGCCACTACGTGTACAGCGTCTACAAATGCAATGAATGTGGAATTGCTTTGTGTCGTGATTGCTTCCTTCCATATCACCATGAAATAACATGTAATGCAGGCAAAGGGCAGAAGGTGACACAAACAGAAGCAACTGATCAAGCAGAAGCAAGGTGGCTGTGGGAACACAGAAGAGATGCAGGACAACAAAGCAGAAGAACCCTTGCAATTGCAAGAGGTGGGTCAAGAGGAAGACAAAGAAGTGAACAAAGAGGTGGACAAAGAGGAAGAGGAAATCGTGGAAAATAAAGACTAGTCGTTATACATGTATAGTGTGGGCCGGTTTATGTAGTGGTATAGAATAGTATAAGTATATAACTGTTCAATGTATAGATGTTCATGTAAGTGACATATATATTGTATTTCACAGGATTAGTACAAAGAAGACAAAAGATTTATAATAAGCTTTGTTGTCAACTGAAGTTCTTCTTTGCACTCCAGGTAATCAGACTTTCCATAGTCTGATTGCTGGAAATAATGTGGAGCCAAGTATAATTTAGTTGTAGTCAATAGACCCCCAAGTTCAATTTAGTTGTAGTTACTGTCAGCCAAGTGTAATTTATTTGTAGTTATCAGAACCCTAACTTGAATTTATTTGTAGTGACCAAATCCCAAGTTGAATTTATCTGTAGTGACCAACTCTCAAGTTGAATTTATTTGTAGTGACCAATACCCAAGTTCAATTTATTTGTATTGACCAACACCCAAGTTCAATTTATTTGTATTGACCAACACCCAAGTTCAATTTATTTGTAGTGACCAACACCCAAGTTCAATTTATTTGTAGTGACCAACACCCAAGTTCAATTTATTTGTAGTGACCAACACCCAAGTTCAATTTATTTGTAGTGACCAACACCCAAGTTCAATTCATTTGTAGTGACCAACACCCAAGTTCAATTTATTTGTAGTGACCAACACCAAAGTTCAATTTATTTGTAGTGACCAACACCCAAGTTCAATTTATTTGTAGTGACCAACACCCAAGTTCAATTCATTTGTAGTGACCAACACCCAAGTTCAATTTATTTGTAGTGACCAACACCCAAGTTCAATTTATTTGTAGTGACCAACACCCAAGTTCAATTTATTTGTAGTGACCAACTCTCAAGTTCAATTTATTTGTAGTGACCAACACCCAAGTTCAATTTATATGTAGTGACCAACACCCAAGTTCAATTTATTTGTAGTGACCAACACCCAAGTTCAATTTATTTGTAGTGACCAACACCCAAGTTCAATTCATTTGTAGTGACCAACACCCAAGTTCAACTTACTATGCACATATATGTATCACGTTACACCAGATTTGATCTTTGCAACTGATTAACTTAGACTTGGTACATATTGGGTATTGCCTTGTGGGAGAAAGAGGATACTGGCTAATTGGGTGAATTTTGCGCCTGTTTTTCTGGATGATAACGGGTTTGTTAACGATTATGTCAACTGCCATAAACAACACAGTTACTAAATATTCCGAGCTTCATGTTTCAGAATACACTACATCATAAAACAGTCTTGTATGTCTTCAAACTATTCTTTAAATGAGGTATTTATGTTGTTGTTACGTTTTCTTTTCTCGTTTTCAGCGTCTTAATTTTCTCGTACGCTAACAAATCTGTCAACAATTTCTCCGTTCCTAAATTCATGGTGAAAAGAGTAGAATACAATTTCGAATGTCAGAGGGTTGTCCAATCAGACTGCACGAATTGACTGGTCTCAGACACGGTCTCATTTCCAGTCTGCGTGGCAACCGAGAGTCTCTAAAGCTGGTCTCAAACATGGTCTCATTCCCGGTCTATATGGCATTTGAGAGTCATTAAATCGGTCTCAAAACTGGTCTAAAATGCCTTCTAGAGGGTACCGTACATACCTCTACAGTCTGAGTTCACATACATGGTGTATTTCAATGGAATATACTTATCCAAAAGTTTTGAATGAAATAACCAATTAGATGTGTACATTTCTTGGAGCAATGTGTAAATGGCAGAAATTGATTGAATGCATGAACATTCTGCATTATAACTACTGGTTGTGAAGGTTCAGTACTTACCTTGAATAACTGAGTATAGCTGACATTCTTAGCTTTTTTCAACCATAACATTAAATCAGTGTAAGGTAATAAATCCCGATGACTAGAGTAATGTTTTGGTAGTGTCAATTCTGAGGAGTGTCTCCCTAAGGTTTCACCAAGTTCATTACCCTAAAAAAGAAATGGATAAAATGTTTATGTTTGCTGTCTGATATGGTGCTATAAATGTACAAAGTAGTAAAACTATAGTCATATAGTCTTGAAGCGATGGTCAAAATGGCTCACTGATTCTATTTATCAGTATTTCTATTTAACAATTTTTTCTGACCAAACCAATACTTGAGCAGGAACTAATGTCAGTGTATGAAATGAAGATCAGATAGAACAAGCCATGCATGGCACAGTCCCCGTTAGTTATAAAATTTAAGATATATAGTTTTGTTTATAGTAATATAGCTATGTCAGGAATATGATTTTTTAACATTAAAATGATTGACATTTGTATCTGATCGTCAAACAAGTACTTGACCATATTGAGAGATATTGCTCTGGAACAGCATTCAAAATCAGCCATTTTGAATACATGTATATATATAACATGATGTATAATGAATATATAAAATTTAAATATCATAAGTGAAAGCATTTAAGAGATATGGCTTTAGAAGCCCAATCATTAAAACAAAATGGCTGCCAGTCAGCCATTTTGAATCCAATCTGAAAAATAAAATGACGAGCATCAGAAACCCGTAATGTCTAATGTATGTACCAAGTTTGAAAGAAAATCCACCCATAAATGCTTGATATTTGATTTTTTAGCACAAAAATGACCAACATTTGGAATAGAATCGTCAAACCAATATATCTGTTTATCTATGACATGATGTATAATGAATAATTAAAATTTGAAAATATTGTCAGTCAAAACAAGTCAGAGATATGGGTCTAGAAGCCCATTCATTAAAACAAAATGACCACCAGACAGCCATTTTGAATCCGATCTGAAAAATAAATGATGTGCATCAGGGAACCTGTAATGTCTAATATATGTAACAAGTTTGAATGAAATCCATCCATAAATGCCAGAAATGCTTGATATTTGATGATTGTTTAGCACAAAAAAGGCCACCATTTGGCCATTTTGAATAGGATCGTCAAACCAATATATCTGTCTATCTATGACATGATGTATAATGAATATTTAAAATTTGAACATAATCAGTGAAAGCAAGTCAGAGATAT